TTAAATTCTGGAGGAAAAAAAAAACTATTAAAGAGTTATCCTTAAGTGTGACATCTGCTCCTGGAAGAGATGACTGCACTGAGTGTAATTTCATCATTATCGTATCGTACACATAAATTGAATATTATTAACACTGAATACATGTCCATCGATTTTGTCAATTCTTGTTTCTTATCAAGAAATTTAAGTAAATATAGGGTATATATTGTACGTTAAGTCAACTGACACATTCATAAGGTACACATTTACTTCTATCTGGTTTTAGGTTAAAAACCTTAAGATGCTCAAACAAACTGCACTTCATTTATGGTAAGATTGTGATAAACGAATGATGAGGGGATACGTATCACACTTTATTGAACAAACTTTGCTCAATATATTTTAATAATTTATATCATCCCCGTAACATAATCGGTAATTTAGGTGGTTTCATTCCATTTAAATTATTTTTTAGAAAAATTTGAACAAGTTTTAAGCCCTTTTTATTAAATGTTAGAGAACGCAATTACCTATTTTTGGACAAGTTTATTTGGTTACAACCCAATTACCTATTTTTGGACAAATTTATTTGGTTCGCTAGAACTAAAGTGAAAGCCTTTAAAAATTCTGTGATAGTTCACGAATTCAGCCCTGTTACCTTAATTTCCATAAGAGGTATACCAAGCCCCACGCGTTTTAAAAAAGTATTTGCATATTTGTAGTAAGAAATACTACAAACCGTTTTTCTTTTAACCTTCATCACCATGTGGTCCCAGCGAGAATTCGGATATATTGGAAGCTATAGGTTACAGACGTTATGCGTCAGTCACGCACTGTATACCTTTCAGCAGACTGAACTACTTATTCAGGCCACCCTTCCAAAGCAAAGGTGCTCGAAATAGCCAACTTGTGAAGATGACTGAAATCATAACATAGTTTCATTTCCATGTGCAATTAGCCTGGTATACTATAATATACTGAGGCGGCATTGAAATGCACGTCAATTTTGAATAGCGGAAACAGCGAAAGATATACATCCTGTTTAAGCATAGACTGTCTACTGATTTTTTTTCATTTCACTGTATTCAGCACAGATAACAAAGCGAGGTAATGGGCAAGTCACACGACTTTCCTACGACAATGTGAGGGTGTAGTTTTTGCTCAAATAAGATATTAAAGTTTTACTTTTTTTACCGATCCACCAGGAACAACCGATTGTGATACCGAAGGGTTGGTCAAAAAGAGTTATGTATAAAGACGAAACTTAAAATGACATTACGCTCTTGAGCACCCCATGTTCTGCATCTTAATATCTCTTCTGCGGTACTTGCAATCTTTAAAGCGTCAGATTCCAGACTGTATACAAAGGAAATTCACGTGAGGCGCACCGAGCTGAGCACACCGAGATAAGGAGCCTTCACAAATTAGGTTTAAGCATCCTTGTCACAGCATATGATTTCATATCTCCGCTACTCAACAGAGGCATGGGTTACTTTCTCGAATAGAGATTTCACAGTTTCATTCCTAGGCTCTGTCGGCGAACAAAGAGGATGACACGAAACAGTTTTTGTTTAGTCTATAGTCTCTGAAAGCTGAAGAAACACAGAAAATTTGTGAGTCGAAAGCATGCTATTTTCGATCTGCAGCCAATGAGTTTGCTCAGCTCGCCGTATAAAAATCCAGAAAACGGAAATTTAAAATGACACGACGTCCGTTTCGAAAGCCGTTTTGTCATTACAGATCATGTTTTCGGGGCCTTTCAGCGTCACATATGCTACCCTAATTTCCGTTTTCCAACAAAGTCGGAGCGCAGCTGACGCAGCGAAATGACGGAGTCAATCAAGCAGGTCCAAATGTGCGTCATCACGAACCTCGCGCCTCTTTGGGCGTTTGCCGTCGCCGACTAAACAAGTTGCAGCGATTTTATTTTATATTTTTGCGCGCAATTAGTTTAGTCGGGGACAGCCCCAATGAAAACGAGCGACGAGGTCATGCCATTTTGGCGACGTTCGAACGGCTCCTTTGGGTTTTACCCTTGGCTGCCGTCAGGCATAATGTGAAACGGAGTCGAGTCGAGGTTGGACCCTAATATTTCGAAATGTGTGGACTTTTTTTTCACTCCTATATGCTCTGAGAAAAATACGCTTCGTGCGCTTCACTGTCATTCGACGCCAAATTCGGAATTCGGAAGCTGGTTGCGGAGGAAGTTACTAAAAAGCCGAAGTGACTGACGAAGTCTTACTATTGTCTATTCCACCTAGCGAACTGGTCTCCACATTGGTCAAACGTGTTAATTGGCTCCTGCTATCTGCGCACTATCGGCGGCTTGGTGATTGTAGGAAAGCAGTGTTTCTAAAAAGTTCTGAGACGTGTAGAAATGGGCGTTGAAGCCTCTGTTGGGTAAAAAAGTCCTAGTCGATTTCGTCTCGATTTTGAGTTCACTTAAGGGACTTCTCTTCGTCAGACACTGAGGAGACATTCACTAAAGAGCCCTGCTGGGAGGGCGGCGTTCGGGAAGAATGCGTCTCGACCTAGTGTACCGAGATCTCCTGCGAACAGCCATAGAGTTCAAAGACATAGCTTCCACTGCTACGGCGACGGCTGCAAATGCGCTATTGGTTTTTACTAAAACTCTGAACAAAAATTCGTCGCAACGCATTGTCATTGAAAACTATGTATTGTGCTCAACCGAGGCATTGCAAGAGAAATTAGTTCGCACTTTGACGCTCAAACCTATCGTCAACTGTTTTAGTCCAACGTACACTCGCCGCCACCAAGGCTCACTTCAACAGACAAGGCTGTCTTGCGCTCAGCTCTAGCGGGACGTTGTGCACCTCACTCTGCATCTAAACCCTTCATGCTTTAAGAGTGCGTCCTGTTTAGTCTTTCTCCAAGCTGACTTGTAATAATCATATCATTACACGTGGCACATATATTGAAACTACAAAGAAATGTATGAGAGTGCAATTTTGTTACCTTTTTAGACACTTTGCAAGCAATTCCGAAACTATGCGTAGATCTTATTTGTCTAATTGGCGCTCAGCATTCCAACTAGACCGTTTAGGTTCTGTCATGAGATCATGCACCGATATGATCGTGTACTATGCTTCTTTTTCGGCGTACGTGTATAGTGAATATTGGGACACAACGCCCGTAGCCCCTTCCACCATTTAATGGTTGACCAGTTAAGTCTTCACGGCGAATCTTTGCTTTCTTTTTCCCCTTTAGCAAAGCGAAGTTCTGAGCGGACGTCGCCTCCTCTCCACCTTTCGTTCTGCTAAAGTTGAAAGAGGTGGGAGGAGCTGCCTGAACTCTCAACTTGTCATCTACCATACAAGAGACTCAAAGTGTTTACGAGCTTCGAGGTGACTCCTGCGTAGCATGTTTGAGATTTGAGAGGATCCAACCAATATCCGACGTTTAGTTGACGTCTTAAGTGTCTGAGTGCAGTATTTAGCGACAGTGTCATGGGAAGATAGGCCAGGCTAAGCCTGTCCAGTGTGTTGCTTTCATCTCGAGCATCCGACCTGATGTGACCTGGTTGCGCTGTCGCCAAAACACCTCCTAGGAGCCGTCGTAATTTGGTTTTAACCGTCGCGATTGGAGCATAAATTTGGGAAGGATAGATCGAAATTACAGAATGTCAGATAAATATAGCTGCAAAGAGCTGAAGCTAAACTTTCCACGAAGTCAAAGGGCGTTGCATTTACAAAAATGGAATGCTTCATCGCACGTGTCTCTTTTTTAATGCTTTATGAATGTCCAGCAGTTGGAGGTAAAAGCCCGATTCACTTTGGGATGCAAACATTAACTGTAGGTTATGTTCCCCTACCTGCCTATTGACATGGGTGTAAATGTAGACATCCGGACGACGTCACTCTGGAAAATCACTCAAAAACTCAGATCCGGATCACAAACTTCTAATTGCAGTCGCAATGACTGGCCTACTAAACCTGCTCTCTCCCACTTGTGTGGACGGCAAGAACCTTTCTTCAATCAGCATCACTCGCATGCGTCATTCCTTAATGTTCATTTCTTTTTTTATATGGCCCCACCAGTTTTTTTCTGTTCTTACACATATAGGCACACTAAGGAGGCAAAACACCCGCATCTGTATACCCACCTGCACTCCATATATCAGGTTCTCGAGATAATATTTATTAAGAAGGCAAAGTTATATAGACGGTTCGCCACACATTTTTCCTTTGTCTGGCATATTAGCAATGAGCAGAGTACATTCAAGTAACAAAATTCGCAAATTGTTGACTTGGTTTTGTTGAAACCTCTCTAAAGAGCAAATCATTTATTGTTTAGTGAGAAAATTGACATGGAGTTGTCTAGCGCTTGAGCAGTATGCTATGTACCAACATACATCCCTAAACGTCACAACTTATAGCGCAAGCAACTCAATCAAAGTTTCAAGCAAAGTTCGCTGCGGGACATTCTTAGCGCGAACACGAAAGCTGCGTTTATTTTCAATTTTACTTCCAAAGGGTACTGGAAGGAAAAAAACATTTACCTCTTAAGAACGTAACCCAACTAACCACTCTCGAACATCAGATTAGTTTTTATGACAATCCTTCAATACTGGCAAAAAACGGCGATGGCTATTTCACACTAACAGTGTCGCAAAGTGTGCACGAAAAGAACCATAAGGGTGCACTCGATCCTACAATGAAGAGCTGTCGTTTGCTTCGCTTTTTCACTTTACTTTACACACTCGGGGCGCCGCATTCACCCTTTACCACCAAGACCTCGAATTGTCAGATAAACTGGAAGTAAAAAATAAAACGGTGTCCTGAGATGACCATGGACTTCTTTAATCACCTCAGGACTGGGTCCCTTACGAAGTCTCCCATTACCATGTGCCAGACCGTTTTCTTGGCGAACGCAACAGTCTATTTTCAGGCTTGTCTAGCTGAGGGCACCAACGCACAAGCTCCAATTGCAACGTTATCCTCCGAAGCGTTGCGTACAGAGTTAACTGCGATATTCATTGCCTCGTTTTTGTAACTAAGCATCTAAAACGTTGCACTCGTGCTGCGTTTATAACGGATAGGGAGACCAAGGGGTTTTCAGTCGTTTACTGCTCCTTCATAAATTACGGCCATGTGGAAGTGTCTTCTGACTGTGCTGGTGGGGCCCCTGGTAATGACCTCTGCACGTCCAGAGGAGGAAGCAGGTAGGGTTCAAAGTTTTTCCTAAAAAAACTTTTGTTTTTATATGACTATTTCTGAAAGTAATGTTAATAGACTGTTCACATTTTATTGGGCGTACTTCAATTGCGCACTTTTAAGGAAACCGTAATAATGCTTGTACACATAATGTGAGATATTTAGAAAGCGTGAACAATTACTAGGCACTTTCATGAGGTCATATACGGCTAAAATGAGTGCTCAAAGCTTTAGTGTGGTGTATTTTACACACTGCAAGCTCCAACTTAAACGGTAAACTTTGTTATGTGCTAGTGGGCCCTGACAAGGCAAAGTGTTTTTTTTCTGCTAAATGTGTCACGCAGTCCACACGAAATTCTAGCTTTAAAGAAGATCTTCATGCAATCTAATTTGTTCTCCAAATGTAACAAATCGTCACAGATGGGTTTATTTTTGAGCGACAAAGAAACAAAGCCAAGTGCTTTAGCTGTGAGTGGTAAGGTTCTCAACTTAGTTGTTTTCAAATATGTCCAGGAGGCAGCAGCGTTTGCGAAAGTCACACTCAATTTAAGAGGCCAAGTTTGAGCTGGCGCCTGTACTGACAAACATAATTCACTTTCCCCAGCCTGAATATTTCTCACTTACACTCGCCTATACTTATTACTGTGTCCATTTTGTTTTGCTCGAGTAGCTTCTGCACCTCAATGCGCCGACCACGAAGTATACAAAACGTGCGTAAGCAGTTCTTGTGCGGAAGCCACCTGCGACCGTCCACATATCGGACCTGCCTGCACCGACGACTGCAGGCGTGGATGCTTTTGTCAAAATCGTATGTGCTGCATGTTCTATAGTATCTTTTAAGATTCATCGCCAGGGTAACACGCAAAAAAAACCCGCCTAACTCAGTCCTAGTTACGCAATCCTAGGGGCCTAATACGGTTTGACTTTAAAGTATTAGTGGCAGCGCTTTACTGCCTAGGAATGGCCTTTCTCTGGCTCGACCGATTACTACCAGGGTGACATGAGCAAAAAAACAAAAACAAAAAAAAGGCCACGTATGAAGTGAAAAACTAGCAGTGAAGGATAAATGCGACTCGTGTTTGGCATGATAAGCCCAGAGTAGCCGCAGGACAACCAAAGAATCAACCAGAAGTAAATCTGAACTCTGGCACTTAATTGTCGATTAGGGCCCGACGATCAAAAGATGACAGCGTATACAAGCAATGAAGCCTAACTCTGGCCTTCGGTTGGCGAATCAGGGCCATGATGAGAAGGTCATATTTGGCTCTATCTTTGATATTTCTGTCTGTTCAAGGCCCCAGAAATCCTCAAAAGAACTATGCTACCTGAGCAACGCCACTGGTAAAACTAGAGGCCCCAAACAAGTGACGCTAAGAATATCCACACTCCTATTCTCAGTTGTCTGGTGGGAGCCGCTTTTTTTGCCTCGAGTAGAACGGACGCAAGTGGCGACAGCTAAGATTAAAAAATGCGACGACCTAAGATGCAGATACGGTCTCATATAATGGCATATGGCTCGTCGTGGAGTGTTTTAATATTTCTAGAGGCCGGTAAACCTTTCCTGCGATATCATGTACAGCTTCAGTGAACTGAAAACAATGATCTTATGCAACAAGATCACATAAGTAATTCCTTCGAAGGGTAGCTTATTTTGTGGCTGTAATTATTTCTTGTCAATAAAATGCGAAATTACACAATTATGAATAATGCGTCGACGACACCTAAGCGTATACCAATACTTCCAGCAAGTCTGAGCATTGCACTTTACGTAAAATGATTTTTATTTGACTTTTGGAATTTACTTTTATAATCGTTATCGATTTATTTGGAGCACAATTGTGCCGGCATTTTAGATAATTCAGACCTTCAAAATAGGCAAAACGAAAGCCCAAAGGAAAATTTAATGCCACCATGTTTTCAGATTATTTTTAAGGAAACATCCTAGTACAACAGCACGCTTCATCCGACACAAGCAAAAAAATAATAATATTAATTTACAAATCGTAGTAAGGTATGCTTTAAATATTCTAAATATTGTTCTTTTTTTGCCCACCTTGAAATAAGTGAGGGGGCGCAGACATCTTTAGGTCCGATTGGTGAACTACATTGTATTCCGGCATAATTTGGGAACTCTATCTATTAAATGCCAACTTTTAAGGTTTTTTGAGTGGTGAGAAAACATACTAATTTCCTACTTTTAAATTAAAAAAAAAAAGATTAGACAAATGAAGCACAGATTCGCTCATGTTTACTTAATCCGAAAGCTTTACGGTGCAATCCTTCTTACGTAAAGTCGCATGCTTAAATAGGTTTATTTTAAAGAAAGAATGAAAACATTAATAAACATTGGACTTATTTTGCGCGTGTATCACACATTCGTAACTCGCACAGCGCACCTTAAGGCAGGTACCGGTTCTTCTAGTTCCTGCCTTGCTCTCCAGGTGCCACGAGTTGTCGTAAAACGTTCAAAGACGCTTAATCGCCGGGGTTACTTCCTGGCATGTTGTCCTTTGAGTGGAGACTCCTGATTTATAATTATGAAGATGAGTAATCTTAATTCTCAGGTGCCGCCGTTCTTAGGGCCAATCTTTAGTATTTGTCTGAATATTTAGGGCCTGAAAAAGCCCGAAGAATAAATGGTAGGGCCAAACTTCACTTTCTTTGGACAGACTGTGGATATATTATCTCTAATTCGCATAACAAGTACCATGGTTAGGCTTTCCTACTGATTGGACTGTTTTCATGTGGCAACCCTAAGCCTAAATTTACAAACGAATACAATATTTAGGCTTCATTGCTACTTCCTTGGTTCATATGTGACATCTTCAGTTCAAGTTGGGTACTTTGAAAATTATGGTCTCAGCCAGAGGAAAATCAGAAACACCAAGAAAAAAAGTATTATAGCACAAACTGTCGCCTTGGCGCAAAACCGTACTAGGCCGAAGTTGGGCACCAAGTATTGGCAAGCTTGTGCTAAGCTAGGTATTTCTCGGGAGTGATACCTGCAGAACTACTAACCAATTTGTATTATTAATAGTTTATGCAAGGGATTCCATAACTCGAAATATGTTATTTTTTTTCTCAAGGTTTCTACCGCAACGCTGAGCGACGCTGCGTCACGAAGTTGCAGTGCCCCGAAGATTCCGCAGCGTACTCGTTTGTGGAGCCTGAAAATGGACACGAATGAGTGTTCATTGAGGGTGCAACAAGTTTTCAGTGCTCTTGCATTGACAGCATCAGACCCGAGGGTTTCACTCAAACTGCAATTTTTAAAACGATTTCTGATGTGTGCTTAGTTGTAGAAATTGAAGACTCTTTGGGTGTAACCTAAGTCGTCAGTAGAAATGCAATAATCATTGACAAATTCGCTCTGCTTAAACCCGCGAAAGAGGCCATTTATCGCGCAGAACCTTCGCGCGCTTTATGTCTGCAATTGCCGGTATTATCGAATTGCGGTCATTGTAATGTTCACAGATGTCGGTGGGGTACCAGCGGTTGCCTTGGTTCAACCGAATAACCAGCGGTTGCCTCCCCCACAAAACACATGACAATAAATCGGTTGTCCAGGGTATACGAAATATTTGCCGCGCGCTAGGGGGATTGCACTGAGAATAAAGTTGACATTTTGGCTTATTCATAATTTTTTAGTGCAAGCTAAATACATTTTAGGGTTTGGGAGACATTCAAATAATATTTATTTCTAAATGTAAAAGTACCGATTCAATTTTAATTCACTTTCTTTTAGTTCCAGAATAAATAATGTGGCCAGAGGACTGAATACGAAGCTCCTGCAGTGCAGCTTGGCTAAGATACTGTCCCTTATATTCGGCTATCGGATAAATATGGTAATCAAATCTGTGTGACTCGACACGCACATTTTCGTGTCAAGTGTGCAACTTAACATGCACATCTAACTGTTGCTCTTTGGCTCAACCGACGAAGAATATAAGCGACAATAAACTTAGTGATTGTTTTACGCACGTTAAAAAAAAATTAAAGACGTTTACAAATCTCTGTAATGCGAAATTATAGCGCAGCTCTTGAGGTATTTTCATATAGCGATATACCGTGCTAAACAATTTGAGAAATAAATTTATATATGTACAATTATAGAACACCGTCCTTACATAGTGGTTCTGCACCCTCGTCTTTTTCCGTGCCCTCTTCCTCCTTCATATCCTCCTCCTCCGTATCCTCCCCTCTTCCTTGTCCATACCCTCCCCTCCTCCTAAGCTGCACACCCCCCCCCCCCCTCTTCCTGCGTTTAAAAATGTAATTGTCTAGCTGACCGCTACCAAGCAGCTTGTGTTTGTGGTAGCACTTGTAGCAAGTAGTACAAGAAGGTCAGTGAATTTGGATATACTATTTCACGTGAATACACTCTATTCTATTATATTCTAAACTATTCTTCTATTCTATACTATTTTATTTGTTCGGCTGTATCACCCATATTCCGCGTTAAATTGAGCCGCAGTTACCAGAATATTTGCCTAAATTGATTCGTGGAATCTAACAAGCGTGTCCTAATATAAAAACCGACCCGCCTTTCAATTTAACGAGACCTATTCAGCGTGAGTGCCATGCCTCTGTATAGTCTTCTTGGACAATGACATAAGTTTTCAAACTGATCAAGGCTGACCACGCAATGCCTGTGAAACTGACGTTTAATTCGTGTAATTATTTATTATGGAATATTACTGCACTTCTAAAATAGCGAAGGGCGAAAATGATATAGTTTAGTTATAAGTGAACAGATTAAAAAAATGTATGATGGCTTTAACCTAAAACTGTAGCAATATTGGGTTAAATTCACCATGATAAACGTGAACTGATAAAGGTAAAGCCAATCTCGGGTTAAATTTATTATTGCATGCTTCAACCAACTAGCCAGCGCCGGCGCATTTTCCGTCCTTTTTAGCTCTCGCGTCTTTGCGTGCGAAATTAGACCGTGGCATGGGGTCCGTCATGGACTAATATTGCTTGCGAAGATGCGAGATATCTTAAGAATGCGCCCTGGCCTTGTAATGGACTAATGCTGTGCATGAAGAAGCGAACTTTTTTTTTTTAATTTGTGAGTGTTGTAGCTAGGTAAGAAAAAAGTTAGAAATTGTGTAAAATAAAGTCAAAAAGTGTCCTTAGGTTCACTTAAAATAAATCGCACCTCCGCGTTTTCCAGTTTCTAACCGGTTTTGACTACTTGTGCTCATTAGAATCGAAACAGGACATACTTAGAAGAACGTTTGTAGCCTTCAAGCGATGGAGAGTTTTTATGTGATGCGACAAGTCGCGGGATCATCACGAATTACCGTGCGGCATGAGCAGCCCGGACTAAACAACTTCACGAGCTCAAGCAGGACAGCTCGAGGACTAAAAACCCGGAACAGCTATCGCCGCAGTCATAGAACCTAATGGAAGCTCCCGTTTATGTTATGATTGAGTTAGCATTAGTACCCACATGACAAGAAAAAGCTGACGTCGTCCGTCTGCGGATGAAACAGTGGAAAGGGTTGCGCGCCGCGCAGAGGGGAGCAGAGTAGTAAAGGTCAAAGGCGAGAGAGAGACGACGTCACGGGTAGGAAGCCAATGCGAGGGCGGATGCTGGTGCGAGTCTGAACTTGCAGAAGCATCAGGCAGCGGTTGCCGCTGTTATGCGTGAAGGGGGGCGAACGAGACAGAGGAGAGGAAGCAGCGCCTAGCTGGCCGAATGCGGCACAATAAGCGGCACGGCGACGCGGCTCCGCGTGTTACAGAAGCTTAAAATATTAAAGAAAGATGCATTGGTAGACTCTCAGGAGATACGTTGGCATGACCCTCCCGAAACTCCACACACGTCCACCTTTCTGTAACGCTAACAGTGACCCATAGCTAGCGTATCTAAAAATTGGCAGCAAAAATAGAGGAAGAAAAGAGAAGGCCAAAAAAGAAAAGTAAGGGTCAGCGTTGCGTTCACCAAAAGGGAATATTTGTGGCGTTTTCCAGGGGTCATTCTAACGAATTTCCTAGTGATCTACCAATGAAACTTCCATTAATTTTAAATTTTATGTGGGATGGTAAAGATTGGTTACTGTCCATACTATCAAACATCTTCCTATCACCACAAATTTCCTCCCGGAGCACGCACCGTTACCGCAGAGCTTCCTTAGCTGAGTCAAGCCTTGAACGATCGGATTCACTTTCCACAGCCCACCCTCGACAGCCCGCCAGTGGAGAAATCTATAGTGAGTCATTTCACCGTATCAATGGTAATATTAGAAATGAAGTTTTTTAACACATCATCACAGTACCTTTATTGATATCACAGCAGAAATCCAAGTATAAGTATTTCACACATTCATAATTCAATGCCCTTGTCCATACCATTTAAATTATAAAATCATCGATTTTTTTGGGCGTTCGATACGAGACAGGGAACCAATGGTTTCTCGAAAATGTCCAGATTTGATTAGTCATCTAGCGTTTTTTTATTCAACACCTCATCCTTGGGAATCGTATGGAGCATCGCAGTAATACAATATCGAACAGTTTCTTAAGTACTATATGTTTGAGTTGACTGTCTTAAGTCTCATCCAAAACAACCTAAGCGATATAAAACTAGTGTTTCATTTAATGTCCATTTTATGCTGTCTGACGACGCAAGCGCTCAATTGGCCATTTGAACATTTCTAAGCTCAAAGAAAAATCCAGAGTTAGTATTTACATCCGATCTAGGTGCTGGTGTCTGCACCAGCACTTCTGTCAGGAATCGCTTAAAATTGATGAAGCTTTATACGCGTATGTTTATAGCTTAGTTTTACTCATTAACGTCAAATCTTTCATACAGTGGAGAGCGCGTCGCCCGTCTAACTACACCTGCAGCTTTCTTCATGAAACTTCAAACATTTGAAAGAATGTTTATAGTAAAAACGTTACATTTATAAAGCGCAAATGTTCTGAATTCGGTACATCAATTCCACACACATACACACACACACACACACATATATATATATATATATATATATATTGTCAGGAAGACAGAAGCTCAACGACCGCTTTCAGTGATGATTATATTCGAACTGGCCCGCGGTTGTGAGCACGGGCCATGCGAGCTATCGGTGATGACGATGATGGCGGAGATATGGCGATGCCCGATGACGACGATGAGGGTCTTCATCACATTACCCCCCTCCTCGGGGGGGGGGGGGGGGGGGAAGCTATTGCCGTGGTGGGTGGTACAGTTTCAAGCGGTTCAAGTGTAGAACTTCCGAAGGTCGACGGCGGCCATCCGAAGAGGAAGAAGTTGGGCTTAGCGAGGTAGGAGACAGGTGATGTTTTCTCGGTGATTCGATAGGGACCGATGTACTTGTGGAGGAACTTGTCCACTCGGCCAGGTTGTCTGGCTGGTGTCCAAACCCACACAAGGTCACCAGGGGAGTAAGAAGTGTTCGTGTGGTGCTTGTCACAGCGGTCCTTGGTGACCTGTTGATGCCGCGACGAGCGGAGCTGCGCGAGCTGGCGGCATTCTTCGGCGCCAAAGATGAAGTTCTCTAGGAGTTCACTTTGATTGTTGATTGAAGGAGCGACAGGAAAGATGGTGTCCATTGTGCATGATGCTTCGCGTCCGTACACTAAATGAAAAGGGGAGTAGCCCGTGGTAGACTGGAGGGCAGTATTATAGGCAAAAGTTACGAACGGGAGTACAGTGTCCCAGTTCGTATGGTCGGGGGAAACATACATGGATATCATGTCTGCAAGGGTCTTGTGAAAACGTTCGGTTAAACCGTTTGTCTGTGGATGATGTGATGATGTTGTTTTATGAATTACGTTACAGGCTTTCAGAATAGCTGTAAGTGTACTCGAAAGAAACTGCCGTCCTCGGTCGCTTTAGAGGACTTGTGGCGCACCATGACGTAGAAGTATGGTGTGTACAAAGAATTGAGCAATTTCTTCAGATGTCGCAGAGGTAAGCGCGGCAGTCTCGGCGTATCTAGTTAAGTGGTCAACGGCCGTGACTATCCAGCGATGACCATGAGAAGAAACGGGGAACGGACCGAACAAATCGATTCCTACTCGTTCGAAAGGCGCACTGGGGCAAACTAATGGTTGCAGCAAACCAGCACGGGCAGTGGTTGGACGTTTTCTACGCTGGCATTTCAAGCAGGACTGAACATATTTAAAAACAGTTGTCTGAAGCTGCGGCCAGAAGTAGCGTTGCCTAATGCGAGCGTACGTGTTGTTAAACCCCATGTGTCCTGAAATAGGGTCATCATGAAAAGATCGAAGAATGTCAGTGCGCATATTGCGAGGAACTACGAGGAGCCAGCGGTGTCCTGAGGGGGAAAAGTTGTGCCGGTAGAGTATACCATCTTGCATAGAGAAGTTCTGTAATTCTTTTCGCAACTTTTTGTGAGCGAAGTTATTCGGTTTCTTAAGGTGGTCGATGATGCCTTGTATCCATGGGTCTTTGGATTGCTCATGTGCAATAGAGTCAAAATGGAGTGCTGAGACATCAAAAACGTCATCCATGTTTTCAAGCCGTTCATCTCGTTCGTCTACTGGACATCGAGATAGGCTGTCAGCGTCTGTATGTGTGCGCCCAGATTTGTATACTACTGTATAATTGTATTCCTGAAGCGCAAGCGTCCATCGACCAAGTCTGCCAGTGAGATCTTTCAAGGAAGAAAGCCAACATAACGTGTGGCGATCGGTCACAATAGTAAAATGTCTTCCGTAAATATATGGTCGGAATTTGTTAATGGCCGAAACGACAGCTAGGCATTCTTTCTCGGTTATAGTGTAATTCTGTTCGGCGGCGGAGAGCATTCGGCTCGCATAGGCCACAACATATTCTTTTAGTGTGTTGGGATCGCTCTGCAATAGAACAACGCCAAGGCCATATCCACTGGCGTCGGTGTGCAATTCTGTAGGGGCAGAGTCAGTAAAGTGCCCCAGTAAAGTTCCCCAGGATTGGATCGGACTGGAGAGTGGTTTTGAGAGAGTGAAATGAGTCTCGACATTCAGGGGACCAGATGAATGGTGCATTGGACTGTAACAACCGTGTAAGTGGGGCAGCTAGTTGGGCGAAGTGAGGTACAAAACGGCGAAAATACGAGCAGAGTCCTAAGAAACTACG